AAATGCCTCTTAAATGTTGCTATGTATCTGCTTGTACCACCTCCTCTAGCAGTGCGTTCCAGGCACCTACCACTGTCTGTATAAAAAAACCCGCATTGCACATCTTTTAAACTCCCCCACCCCCAATTTGTGGCCCCTAGTTTTGACATTTCCACTCAGACTCCGACTATCGAGAGAACTTAATAAAACTGAAGGCAATTGTGAAGAGGCAGCATAGTTTTGTGAAAGAGAATCATATTTAACCAATTGTTTGAAGTTCTTTTGAAGGAATAATGTATTGTGGATAAAGGGGAGCCTGTTGACATACCATATTCGGATTTTGAGAAGGCATTTGGCAAGATGCCATTGCAAAGGTTTATACATAATGTAGGAGCTCATGGTTTAGGAAATTACATACTAACGTGGATACAAGATTGGCTGGATGGCAGAAAATAGAGACTATGCATAATAGGTCCATTTTTTGAATGGCAGTTTGAGATTGTGGTGCCTACATAGTCTTGGCCCTTTACAATTTAAGTTAATGATTTCGATGAGGGGAGTGAAGGCATTATAGTTAAATTTGTGGATGAGATAGATATAGTCAAGAAAATATGTGCGAAAAGTATATAAGGTGTGCCCATGTTTCTGGAGATAGTATATGGAAAGAGGATTGGCTGTCTAATAGAAGATAGAAATTTGGGATAAGGGGGGCATTTTCAGGAAGGCAACCTGTGACACAAGGGCAGTGCTGGGCCATAATTATTACTTTGATCAGGAAAGTGAATATATTCCAACCAAGTTTGCAGATAACGCAAAAACCGGCAGGAAGGGACGTGGTGAGGATGTCACAGAGTGTTTGCAGGGTTTAGCGAGTGAACAAAGACATGGCAGATGGAATATAGTGTAGTGCAATTATGTACTTTGGTAGGGAGAGTAGAGGAACTGAATATTATCTGAATGGAGAAAAACCACAGAAAGCCACAGAACCGAGAGATTTGGGAGTCCTCATCCATAAATATGAAAAGCTAGCATCCAATTTCATCAGGTAATAGGCAAGGCAAATGAAAGTTGTTTATTTCAAAGGGAATGGAGTATTAAAGTAGGGAGGCTTTGCTAAAATGATACAAGGCATGAGTCACACCACAGTTGGAATCCGGAGACAGTTTTGGGCCTCTTTTCTAAGGAAACACATAATTGCAATTCCATTTTGGAGAAGTTTCACTGGGTTTGTAGTTATTGTAACAAGCTCAGCCAAGTGGACCTCATAGAATATTTCCCTGATTGGGACTGTTAATCTGGTGCAATCAGGGAACACTGGCTGACAGATATAAATAGGAGGTCAGAGGTTCTTGTCACAGAGAGCTGGATCAGTGTCAAGAACTCTCTTTGTGTAAATAAAGGGTGACTTGGTGAGTGGATACCAGCTGCTGTAGTTATTTCAGACTAGTGCTAGGTTTGGAGGTATTGTCTTAAGTGAAGTGATTGAACAGGTTGGGCCTGTATTTATTGTAATCTAGAAGAATGAGAGGTGATGTAATCTCAGAATAGGGGTTGTAAATTTAAGATAGGATTGAGTAGGAACTTCTTCTCTGAAGGTAGTGAATCTGTGGAATTCTTTACTGAAAGACTGCCAAGGCTGGTCGTTAAGTATATTCAAGACTGAGGTAGACAGATTTTTAATCAATGAGGGAATTAAGAGTTATAGAGAAAAACTGGGAAAGTGGGATTAGGAATTATTCGATCAACTGTGAGCTTCTAGAATGGCAGAGCAGACTCAATTAGGTGAATAGTGTATCTCTGCTCCTTCTGTCTTCAGTCTTATTGTCTGACAAGTTTGCAGATGGATATAGATAGGTTGAGTGAATATGAAAATGTTCTGGCAGATGAAGTATATAACATAAGGAAAGTATAAAATAGTTCACTTAAACAGAGTAGTACTTGAATAAAGAACAACTGCAGAACTCTCGGGCATGAGTTAGTATGCAGGTATGGTGAATGGTGGCTCAGTGGTTAGCACTGCTGCCTCAGTGCCAGGGACCTGGGTTTGATTCCAGCCTTGGGTGACTGTCTGTGTGAAATGTATACATTCTCCCCATGTCTGTATGGGTTTCCTCCATGTGCTGCAGTTCCCTTACACAGTCCAAAGATGTGCAGGTTAGGTTGGTTAGCCATAGTTAAAACCCCATGCAGGATTATGGAGGTGTGTCGGGGAGTGTGGGACTCGCTGTTTAACGGGTAGGTGCAGACTCTTTCTGCAATGTAGAGATTTTATGATTCTTGGTACAGCAAGTAATAAAAAAGGCAATTAGAATATTGTCCTTTATTACAAGAGAAATTAAACCTAGAGGTAAGGATGTTTGGCTTCTGTTATACAGAGCATTGGTGAGACCACATCTCGCAGAATGCATACATTTTAGTTGTCTTACTTGGGAAAGATGTAAATGATTTGGAAGTAGTCCAGAGGAGGTTTGCTGGTTATTATCTAGAATGTATGGGTTATCTTATCCTGCATAGTCTGGGCTTGTTTTCACTGGAGGTTAGCAGAATAAGAATTGTCTTGATTGAATTATAAAAGATCTGAATGGTCTGGATGAGGTATAAAAATGATATTTCCTCTTGTGGCTGAGTCCACAATAGGGGTTATCCCATTTAAGACAAAGATGAAGAGATTATTTTCTCAGGGGGTTGTGCAATTCTTGAATACTCTGACTCAACATGGTGAAGGCATAGTCATTAAATATTTGTAAGGTGGGAATAGATAGATTCTTGTATAAAAAGGAAATCAAAATCTGGTAGGATAGATGAAATGTGAAACTTAGCATTCACTCCCTCCACCACCGACGTTCAGTAGCTGAAGTGTGTACTATCTACAAGATGCACTGCAGAAATTCACCAAAGATCCTCAGACAGCATCTTCCAAACCCACAACCACTTCCATCTAGAAGGACAAGGGCAACAGATATATGGGAACACCACCACCTCCAAGATTCCCTCCAAGTCACTCACCATCTTGACTTGGAAATGTTTTGTTGTTCCTTCACTGTCGCTGGGTCAAAATCCTGGAATTCCCTCCCTAATAGCATTGTGGGTCAACCCACAGCAGGAGGACTGCAGCGGTTCAAGAAGGCAGCTCACCGCCACCTTATCAAGGGCAACTCGGGATGGGCAAGAAATGCTGGCCAGCCAGCGATGCCCACATCACACAAAAATGGATAGAAAAAAAAAACTCTCAAATCATCCATTATCTATTCAGCCGTTATCCTATTAAATAGCAGTGCAGGCTCGAGGGGCCAGATGGCTTCTTTCTATTTCTAGTTCCTATGTTTATACATAGCAATTTCTCTATGGCCAAATCAAGGCTGTGGCCCCTCAACACATCTCAATCTTGACACCCCTCAGTTTCCTCCACTCCAAGGAAAACAACCCCAGTCTGTTCAATTTCTCTTTGTAAATAAAACTTGCCAGCTGAGGCTTCAGCATGGTGAATCTCTTCTACACCTCTCCAGTGCAGTCACATTCCTCCGATTAATCTGGATTCTAGAACTGCACATAATACACTAGCTGTGGCCTTACCAATCTTTTATATAGTTCTAGCATAACTTCTCTGTTCTTAAACTCAATGCCTCAGCTAATAAAGGCAGTTATCCCAAATGGCTCCTTAATTACTTTAATACCTGCCTCGCTATCTTAAGGGACTGATGGACCTTAACACCAAGGTCCCTCTGATCCTCAGTGCTTCCCAGGATCCTACCATTGATCATGTATTCCTTTCCCTTGTTTGTCCTGCCCAAGTGCATTACCTCACACCTATCCAGATTGAATTCCATTTGTCGCTGATCAGATCATCTATATCTTCTTGTAATCCAAGGCTATCCTCCCTACTATTTATTATCTTACCAAATTTTGTATTACCCAAGAACTTACTAATCAACTCTCCTACATTCAAATCAAAATCATTCATCTATTCCTTAAACAGCAAGGGCCCCAACAATGATCCTTGCAGAAACTCATTGCTCACAAAAACACCTGCTGGACCATCGCCCTCGAGTTCCTGCCAGTCTGCCAATTCTGGATCCCATTGGCTGTGTTTCTAAGTGTTTTTTAAGCATCTTCAAGCATCATTCAATGCAACAGTATCTGATCTAAGCTGATGCATTTGACTGTTGCTGGAGCTCACGTGAAAGAATTATGACTCTTAATTTATGGTACTGTGCAATTATTTGCAAAGCCAAGGTTCTTTGTGAGACAGTGGCAGTCTTGAAGATTATTGCCTTCTTTTGGTTCTTTCATCTTTTCTGTTGACTAAGTCAAAACTGATTGAGCAGCTGATTCCTCAGTTAGGGATCATGTTCAGCTCTTCCATTATTGGCATTTCTGGTGGTCAGGGTTCCCTTAAAAATGAATAAAGTCGCACAGTAGGTCAATGGGTTGTGTGGAATGGTGAAACCAGTATAAACAATAGTGCAGTCACAATTACCCATGCTATTTTATGGTGATTACTGAATCCTTATGGGCTGTAGTCATAAGGAGGTATTGAGTAAAATCTGGAGAGGAGGTAAACCATATTGGGTGAGAATTGGAGTCTACAGGGAAAGATGGTACACATGCATAAGGGAAATTGTCTGTACAAAAAATAATTCCAGTCTTGACAAAAAAGGAGATAATGTATGTGAATGTATTTTTGTATGCATCTCTCAGTGACAGTGTTAAGTTGCCTACAAAAATTTCATCTCCCAACCATTCTATGTATTGCCTCTCAGATTAATAAATTTGTATTGAAGCTCATGATCTAAAAGTGAACTTTAAAAAAAATACTGTCCGAATTGATATACTCATATATATCCTGATTGTGTTATTACTTTTGTATAGCCAAAAATCTTTTACGTGGTTATTTGGTCTTTCCTGCAATGGTGTATAATTTTAGAATTATTAATATCTCCTATAATTTTATATCTATACAGATTTTTAATAATAATACTTGTAATCTAGTTAGTTTTTTTAATGTTCTTTATCTTTACCAGGCCTCTCAGTAAGGAGCGTGTGCTGGCAAGGGGATCATATTTTGGTTGGTACACAAGACAGTGAAATCTTTGAAATTGTGGTACATGAACGCAACAAGCCTTTCCTAATTATGCAAGGACACTGTGAAGGAGAACTCTGGGCCTTAGCAGTTCATCCAACAAAGCCTTTAGCAGTAACTGGAAGTGATGATCGATCTGTTCGGTTTGTATAATTAATTGTGATAATTATCCCATGACTATTAGATGGTATGATGATACATTATAATTTCAGTATGTTTTTGTACTTCCATTCAAGCAACGCCCTTTTAACAAATTTACAAGCACAACTTATTCCCTCAACAGAATGGTGTAAGGACTAACATAGCAGGTATATTCAGCTTCCACATTTTCCATATTGTCCTGGAAGTTTTCAGCTAAAGCAATTAATATTGTCTATTTGTGCTTTATTCAGACCTCTTCTCTTTCAGATAACAGTCAAATTCAGCATGTTTAAACTATGCAGAACATTGATCAACATTATACCATCAATAGAGTAAAATCAAATTAATGTGAGACCAAGCTCTTCAGTCCACTGGTCAGTCTGCAACTTGAATACTTGTATACGTCTAGTCACCAGGACACAATGAACACATTCAAGTTGTGGTAGAAGTACAGAGAAGGTTGATCCCTAGTGTCCTGGGAGGTGCTCTTGTAGAGGTATATATGATAGTTAAGAGAATGGACCAACTTGCTCTCTTCAAAAACTTTGTTTTCAATATCACACCAAGTTCCATTCTCCCATCATGTTTGTTCAACCTACACTGTGTCTCAGTCCAAATGCCTCTAATGTTAGTCCCTTCATAACCTCAAATCTTTTATCTCTGTAGTCTTCTCCAGCTGTGCAACCTTCTGAAAAGTTTACATTGCTTCAACTCCATCAGCTTTTTGAATCACCTGCCCTCTTCACCCTGTCATTTACTGGCATTCCTTCAGTTGTTGAAACCTTGCATTCTGAATTTCTCTTCTTAAGCTCCTGTTTCCTTTAATATCTGTCACTTTGAAAAATCTTTCAGTCAACTTTCTTAATAGTCTCTCTTTTGGCTCAGTGTCAATTTTTATCTAGCTGTACTTCTTTGAAGCGTCTGGAACATTGTTCTTCATTAGAGGTATGATGCAGGTACTTATCGAAGGTAAATCTAACATTATTTGAAATGGTGAGACGAGGACAATGGGTCATGGTTTCAAGTGAATAAAATTTAGGACTGATATTCGGAAATTATTCTGTACATCAGCAAAGGTGGAAATCCTGGAATGATTTCTGTTCAGAAATAAACTGGAACTTTAGGCACTTGAATAGATAAATGAAGATTTGCTTACAAGCTTTCCTCCTCCTGAACTCCTGTCTGCTTTTCTGGGAGTACTTTCAGCATTTGGGCTTCAACATTCAAGAAGACCAATGACAATATTCTTGGGCAAACTAGGAATGGACAATAAAGTTGCCATTGATGCCCATATCCTGAGAATTTTTCTTTAATATTTGCAAAAGGAGTTTTAAAATTTTCTTAAAACATTTTGCTCCATCTAAATGGCACTTTGCGTTCCAGACATGCTGGTTCCAGTAGCCCTTGTAAGATCACATCTTCTGTATTGTCCAACACTGTCAATATATGACTAAATTATATTTCTGATGCAATCAGATTAGACTATACATGTTATAGTTCAATATATGATTTTGCTACTCATTATGATGTTGTGTATATACATCTGCTTTAACTATTTTATTCATTTGTGGGACATGTGTGTTGTTGGCTGGCCAGCATTTATTGCCCCTCCCTGATTGCCCTTGAGAAGGTGGTGGTGAGCTGCCTTTTTGAACCACTGCAGTCCACATGCTGTAGGTTGATCCACAGTGCCCTTAGGGAGGGAATTTCAGGATTTTAATCCAGCAACAATGAAGGATTGGTGATATACCTCCAAGTCAGGATGGTGAGTGGCTATGAGGGGAATGTGAAGATGGTGGTATTCCTATATGTCTGCTGTCATTTTCCTTCTATTCGGAAATGGTCGTGGCTTTGGAATGTGCTGTCTAAGGATCTTTGAATTTGCACGGTGCATCTTATAGATAGTACACACTGCTGCCACTGAGCGTTGGTGGTGGAAAGAGTGGATGCTTGTGGATATATTGTCAATCAAGCGGGCTGCTTTGCCCTGGATGGCGTCGAGCTTCATGAGTGTTGTTGGAGCTACACCCATCCAGGCAAGTGGGGAGTATTCCATCACACTCCTGACTTGTGCCTTGTAGATGGTGGTCAAGCTTTGAGGGGTCTGGAGATGAGTTCCTCTCTACAATATTCCTAACCTCTGACCTGCTCTTGTAGCCACAATGTTTATCTGATGAGTCCAGTTGAGTTTCTGGATATTGTTACTGTGGATTCAGTGGTGGTGACGCTATTAAGTGTCAAGGGTGGTAGTTAGTTTGTCTCTTATTGGTGATGGTCATAACCTGGCAATTGTGTGGCGTGAATGTTACTCGCCACTTGTTAGCCCATGCCTGGATATTGTCCAGATCTTGTTGCATTTGAACATGGACTGCTTCAGTATCTAAGGAGTTATGAATAGTGCTGAACATTCCGCAATCATCAGCAAACATTCCCACTTCTGACTATATGATGGAGGGAAGGTTATTGATGATGTAGCTGAAGATGCTTGGGCCTAGATGTACCGGAGCTGTGAATAACCATAACCATCTTCCAATGTGCCAGGTATGTCGCCAACCAGCGGAGAGTTTGCCCCAATAGCTGCTGATTTTAGTTTTGTCAGGGTTCCCTGATGCCATACTCAGTCAAATGTGGCCTTGATGTCAAGGCCTGTCACTCTCACCTCACTTCTGGAATTAAGTTCTTTTATCCCTGTTTGAACCAAGGCTGTAATGAGGTCAGGATGAGAGTGGCCCTGGTGGAACCAAAACTGGGTGTCACTGGGCAGGTTATTGCTGAGCAGCTGCTGCTTGATAGCACCATTGATGACACCTTCCATCACTTTACTGGTGATCGAGAGTAGACTGATGGAGCAGTAATTGGCGGTGTTCCATTTGTCTTGCGTTTTGTGTACAAGACACACCTGGGCAATTTTTCACATTGTCAGGTAGATGGCAGTATTGTAACTGTACTAGAAGACCTTAGCCAGGGGTGCAACAAATTCTGGAGCACAAGTCTTCAGTAGTATTGCTTGAATGTTATCAGGGCCCATTGCCTTTTCAATATCCACTGTCTGCATCTGTTTCTTTATATCATGTGGAGTGAATTGAATTGGCTGAAGACTTTGTAATGCCATGTACCATTGGAAGAGGCCAAAATCGATCATCCACTTGGCACTTCTGGCTGAAGATTGCTGTGAATGTTTCAGCCTTATCTTTTGCACTGATGTGCTGGCTCTTCCATCATTGAGGATGGGGATATTTGTGAAGCCCCCTACTGCAGTGAGTTGTTTAATTGTCTGCTACGACTCACGACTGATGTGATAGGACTGCAAAGCTCAGACCAGACCCATTAATTGTGGGACAACAAGGTGCAGGGCTGGATGAACACAGCAGGCCAAGCAGCATCATAGGAGCAGAAAGGCTGACGTTTCAGGCCTAGACCCTTCATCAGAAAAGGGGGAGGGGAAGGGGGTTCTGAAATAAATAGGGAGAGAATGGGAGGCGGATAGAAGATGGATAGAGGAGAGGATAGGTGGAGAGGAAAGAAACAAGTCGAAGAGGCGGGGATGGGGCCAGTAAAGGTGAGTGTAGGTGGGGAGTTAGGGAGGGGATAGGTCAGTCCAGGGAGGACGGACAGGTCAAGGGGGCGGGATGAGGTTAGTCGGTAGGAGATGGGGGTGTGGCTTGAGGTGTGAGGAGGGGATAGGTGGGAGGAAGAACAGGTTAGGGAGGCGGGGACGAGCTGGACTGGTTTTGGGATGCAGTAGGGGGAGGGGAGATTTTGAAGCTTGTGAAATCCACATTGATACCATTGGGCTGCAGAGTTCCCAGGCGGAATATGTGTTGCTGTTCCTGCAACCTTCGGGTGGCATCGTTGTGGCACTGCAGGACGCCCAGGATGGACATGTCGTCTGAGGAATGGGAGGGGGAGTTGAAATGGTTCGCGACTGGGAGGTGCAGTTGTTTATTGCGAACCGAGCGTAGGTGTTCTGCAAAGCGGTCCCCGAGCCTCCGCTTGGTTTCCCTGATGTAGAGGAAGCCACACCGGGTACAGCGGATGCAGTATAGCACATTGGCAGATGTGCAGGTGAACATCTGCTTGATGTGGAAAGTCTTCTTGGGGCCTGGGATGGGGGTGAGGGAGGAGGTATGGGGGCAGGTGTAGCACCTCCTGCAGTTGCAGGGAAAAGTGCTGGGTGTGGTGGAGCTGGAGGGGAGTGTGGAGCGGACAAGGGAGTCACGGAGAGAGTGGTCCCTCTGGAAAGCAGATAAGGGTGGGGAGGGAAAGATGTCTTTGGTGGTGGGGTCGGATTGCAGATGGCGGAAGTGTCGGAGGATGATGCGTTGGATCTGGAGGTTGGTGGGGTGGCACGTAAGGACGAGGGGGATTCTTTTTTGGTTCTTATTGCGTGGACGGGTTGTGAGGGATGAGGTGCGGGAGATGTGGGAGACACGATTGAGGGCGTTCTCGACCACTGAAAGGGGGAAGTTACGGCCCTTGAAAAACGAGGGCAACTGAGATGTACGGGACTGGAATGCCTCGTCCTGGGAGCAGATGCGGCAGAGGCGAAGGAAGTGGGAATAGGGGATGGCATTTTTGCAGGAAGGTGGGTGGGAGGAGGAGTATTCTAGGTAGCTGTGGGAGTCGGTGGGCTTGAAATGAATATGGGTTTCTAGGTGGTTGCCCTATATAGAGACAGAGAGGTCCAGGAAGGGGAGAGAAGTGTTAGAGATGGTCCAGGTAAACTTAAGGGTGGGGTGGAAGTTGTTAGTGAAGTGTATGAACTGTTCGAGCTCCTCGTGGGAGCACGAGGCAACGCCGATACAGTCATCAATGTAATGGAGGAAGAGGTGGGGTTTAGGGCCAGTGTAGGTACGGAAGAGGGATTGTTCCACATAACCTACAAAGAGGCAGGCGTAGCTTGGGCCCATGCGGGTACCCATGGCCACCCCCTTTGTCTGTAGGAAGTGGGAGGAATTGAAAGAGAAGTTGTTGAGGGTAAGGACGAGTTCGGCTAAGTGGATGAGGGTGTCAGTGGAGGGGGACTGGTCGGGCCTGCGGGACAGGAAGAAGTGGAGGGCCTTTAGGCCATCTGCATGGGGAATGCAGGTGTAGAGGGACTGGACGTCCATGGTAAAGATGAGGTGTTGGGGACCGGGGAATTGGAAGTTCTGGAGGAGGTGGAGGGCGTGGGTGGTATCACGGACATAGGTAGGGAGTTCCTGGACCAAGGGGGAGAAAATGGAGTCTAGATAGTTGGAGATCAGTTCGGTGGGGCAGGAGCAGGCGGAGACAATGGGTCGACCAGGGCATTCAGGTTTGTGGATTTTGGGAAGGAGATAGAAGCGGGCAGTGCGAGGTTGGGGAACGATGAGGTTGGAGGCCCTGGGTGGGAGGTCACCTGAGGTGATGAGGTTGTGGATGGTTTGGGAGATGATGGTTTGGTGCTCTGGGGTGGGGTCATGATCAAGGGGGTGGTAGGAGGAAATGTCGGAGAGTTGGCGTCTGGCCTCGGCGATGTAGAGGGGGCTTGCTTAGCTCTGTCTATCAATTGCTGCATATGTTGTTTTGAAGTCCTGTTTGGCAGCTTCACCAAGTTGACACCTCCTTTTTAGATATGCCTGGTGTTGCTCCTGGGAAGCCCTCCTGTACTCTCCATGGGACCAGGGTTGATCCCTTGGCTTGATGGTAGTGGTTGTGTAGGGGATATGGTGGGCCATGAAATTACAGATTGTGTTGGAGTACAATTCTGCTGCTGTTGATAGCCCACAGTGCCTTATAGATACCCAGTCTTGAGTTGCTGGATCTGCTTGAAGCCTGTCCCATTTAGCACAGTATCATACAACACAATGGAGGATATTCTTAACGTGAAGTCAGGATTTCATCTCCGCAAGGACCGTGCGGTGGCCATTCTTACGGATGTTGCCAAGCACAGATGCATCTGTAGCTGGCAGATTGAGGATGAAATCAAGTATAGTTTCCCCTCTTGTTGATTCCCTTACCACCTACCACAGACCTGTCTAACAGCTATTTCTTTTAAGACCCAACCAGTTCCATTAGTAGTACTGCTGCAGAGCCACTGTTGATGGTGGACATTGTAATTCCCCACCCAGAGTATATTTTGCACCCATGCCACCCCCAGTGCTTTCCCCAATTGCTGCTCAACATGGAGGAGTATTGATTCACCAGCTGAGGGAGGACGGCACCTGGTAATCAGCTGGAGGTTTCCTTGCCTGCATTTAACCTGAAGCCGTGAGACTTCACATCATCCAGATTTAATGTTGGAGACCCCAGGGCAACTACCTCCCGACTGCATACCACTGTGCCGCCACATCTGCTGGGTCTGTCCTGCAGTGGGATAAGACATCACCAAGGATGGTGATGGTGGTGACTGGGACATTGTCAGTCATACTCAGGGAACCATACCTATGTCAGGCTGTTGCTTGAGGTCTGTGAGACAGCTCTCTCAATTTTGGCACTAGCCACTAGATGTTAATAAGGAGAACTTTATAATGTCAACAGGGCTGTTTCTGCCATTGTCTTTTCCGCTGCCTATGTCAATGCCAGGTGGTCCGTCTGGTTTCATTTCTTTGTCTGGACTACACAGTGATTGATATAACAGAGTGGCTTGCCAGGCCATTTTGGAGAGCAGTTGAGAGTCAACCACATTGCTGTGGCTCTGGAGTTTCATGTAGGCCAGACCAGGTGAGGATGGCAGATTTCCTTCCCTGAAGAACATTATTGTGTGTTTGTTGGCAAAGTAGTAAGATAAAAATAAGTCCTTTAGCAAGGAGTTTCAATAATGTACAGCTTTGTAACATGACCTGAATAAAAAAGCTACCTTTTAAAAGCTATCTTTGATGTATCACATTTATGTTGATGGAGCTAAACCTGGTACACTACTCTGCAGGAATACTTGGTAGTATCTTCTTTATGACATCGTGTCATTGCAGTCACATAAGCTACTTTCCTTTTTGTGTATTGATTTTATTGCTATTCTGAGCTACTTCTTGTTGTCATATCTTGGCATCTGAACCTCAGTTGAAGTTCAGGTGATTATTTTTGCTGATCAAATTTAGTTTTGAACTTTGGCTTCATGAAACTGAAATCTGAAATCTCATACACGTGAAACTGAAGCTAAAGACAGATGCACAGAAACTTTCCAAAATCTATAAACTACCACCAACCATTAAAATGTCATAAGATTTGTGCTGTACTTTCATAATTTTTGATTACTGTCATTTTCTTTGGAATAATAGATTAGAATGAATTTTGAAATTGTGATGTATACCTACAGGGAGTAGATAGCCATAAGTAGAGAAAGAAGACATTTTTTATTTGGAAGCATTTACTTCATTTGTTCAGTTTATATTAATCGGTGTGCATTCTTAAATTATCATATTTCAAATGGAATAAATGTGCGAAAGCATAAGCATCTCAAATGCAACTCTTCTGTGTGACTTATTTTTTCTTCTTCTTCCAACACTATTAAATTTTCACAGCATCTATGCTTCAATTAGGAATGAATAGAGAATTAAAGTGAATAAATCTGATGAGATACAACTGACTATACTGATTAGTTACCAGCAGCCATTAAGTGGGAGGAAGGAAAGTGAGATTTACTGAAAGTATAAATAAGTTCTAGATGGACTTAATTCAGTTATCTGATTCTAATGTAACAATGTTCAAATTCTTGGGGGACAAATAACTATTAGCTTGAAACATCACCTCAGTTCAATTTCATTATTGGTTGTGAATATAAATTATCTTTTGAGGAAGATAGGAACTACTCAAACTAATTTAGTTTTTTTGTGGACTGAAGATTGCAATACAAAATTTTCAGGATCAGTTTTGAAGATCATGATATTTAGAACACTGAAGAGCATTTGTCACTGTTTTATGGTATAATATATTTATATTTTCAGAATATGGAGCCTTATTGATCATGCTCTGATTGCTCGATGCAATATGGAAGAAGCAATTCGTTCTGTTGCTGTGAGTTCAGATGGCATTCATCTTGCTCTGGGTATGAAAGATGGTTCTTTTACTGTACTACGGATCAGGTAAGCATAAACAGGAGCCATCTGCTTTATCTTTAAAAGATTCATGAGCCTCTTGGAATAATGAATACTTTCTTCATTCTGACAGTAATAGAAGCTGTAACCACTTCACTGTTCCTAATCTAATGTGGATAAACATTGTGACAATGACAAAAGAAGTCACAGAAAACTTACCTTTCATATAACTAGCTCAAGATGTCAATCAAGCAAAGTCAATAATTCCTTGCAGTTGTTAAATCCAGACCGCTACTGAGTTAATCCCTTTATGAGCCTGGGTTGTCAGTCAAGCTGCTATTAATGATGCTTAGTGTGTTTAACATTTTTTTAAAATTGAATTGTAGGACGTTTATTTGTCCTGTGTATATATGCTGGACAAATGGCCATTGCAAAGACCATGCATTGGCATGAAGGGGATGTGGGTGGCTGGGGGCATGATTTACTTAGAAGTGACCCAGATGGGACGTTTTACATGTAACTCTCAGAAGGTTCCCAATCGGAGATTATGTTTCATGATTTCTCCGAGATCCGTGAACCATTAGCCTTAGAGAATCCATAACTTTGACATGTGGTCTTTGTGATGTAGGTACATCTGCAATGCTGTTAGCCGGGGGAATTTCACAAATTTGATCCAGTGATGGAATGGCTATTTCCAGATTGGGATAGTGTGCAACTTGCGGGGGAACCTGCAGCTGGCGGTGGTCCCATGTGCCTGCAGCTCTTATTCTAAAAGGTGGTAGAGGTCATGTGTTTGAAAGGTGCTGTAAAAGAAGACAAGTGGCTGGAGTGCATATTATTGATGGTGTACACTCTGCCTCTTTTGTGCCAGTGGTGGAGGGAGCAAGTGTATAAAATGCTGAACTGGCTGTTGTTTTAGTGGACTACTTTGTTGTGCATTTTGTTAAGCTAAAGTCACTTGAGTATTGTTGGAGATGAACTTCACCAGACAGGTGAAGACTTCTTTGTCACATTCTTGAGACTATGATCCCTGAATCTGGAACCCACCAGGACAACAACCTCTATGTCTACTCTGTCAAGCCCTCTCAGAATCTTTTATGTTTTAATAAGATCACAACTCATTATTTTATTCTGAAGAGAATGTAGGCCCAGTGTACTCAATCATTCCCAAGACGACTCTCTTATCCCAGGAATCAATCCAAGGAAGCTTTTTTGTGCCATCTTCAAGTCAAGGATATTCTTCCTTTGACATAGATACCAAAACTGTGCACAATACTCAAAGTTGGTCCCGTTTGTACGATTACAGCAAGAACTCAGAACTGTTCTGAAGATGTGTCATATCAGTTTCAACTTTAACTTTGTTCCTCTCTCAACAAATGCTGCTAAACTTGCTGAATTTCTTCAGCACTTCCAATCTCTCAAATACATTCAGGGGAGCTTTCCTAGGCAACACAATCTTGGTCCAACTTTGATTTACGGCTGGAGAATGAGATGGGCCAAATAGACCAAGTTTCTTTCAGGAAACATGGTTAAGAACCATTGTTATGTCATGAGGTGTAGATTATAGTGATAAACAGCAAGGAACAATCTAAGGCCAAACTTCAGAACTGGAGGAGGAAATTTAAATGAAACAAGAGAGGATCTAGCCCAGATAAAATTGAACCAAAGACTGACAGAAACATCTATAACAGGCCAATGAATGATCATTAAGCAACAGATGTTGAAATGTACTTAGCCTGTATGAAGGAGAAGGATGGAGAGCAAAAGCCATGGCTTCTTGGATGACAAAAGAGGAAGAGGATATCATGAAATCATGGCATATGATGAATTTTGAGAGAATTGATCAAGTGAGATTCAGGCCAAGTACAATATCTTTAGAGGGGAAATAAAAAGGAAAATATGACTGGCAAAGAAAGCATATGAAAAAAATTATTAATTATAATGGGAATATAAAAGTCTTCTACTGGTCACAGAAGTAGTAAGCAGGTAGTAATAGTAAGTTGGGACATATTGAGGGCAAAATAATGCTTTATGCTTCAAGGAGCACAGAAAGGCTAGATTACACAGGTGGAATTTTCCCATTTTCTGCTAGTGTTTTGTTTAGTTACATTCATGGTGCCCAGTCCACCATGGCTCAGAATGACCTTTCTTGCATAATGTTCCACATTTTACCTCATTACTTATGCATCTGGGCATCATTCTTGACGAATTGAGCAGCCAGAGAAGCAGAATTGCTCACAACTGCTCAGACCTTCCAGCTTTCAAATCTCTAATGATATATTTAAAGTCCAGCTGCACACTACTTCAAATTCTGCAAGTCAGGAACATGTCCTCAAACTGTGGTGCTTGTGTTTAAGTATTAAGGACAAAACCCAGAGGAAAGAAAGCTCACTCCCTGCTTTGCAGGTGTTGGTGAATAGTGGAGAGAAGGGTAGTCCTTTGCCAAGCTGACCACCCCAAAAGCCATTCCATCAGACTCAACCAGCCTGGACACAAATTTCACCCTATGTCACTGCCATGTCTTGGATGAAAAGGAATTCCCGACCTTGCATGAAGAAATGTCAGTGATATTCTTAGTTCCATAAAGATAAGTACCATCGTCATCGATCTGCTGCCTGACAATCTCGGAACCACGACTCTCTCTGACTCTGCCAGTGCACACACTTCTTACAAGAGTCATGGACTACAATTCTCAGATTTGCATGCATCATGTTCAGTCAATGACTAACCCTCCTGCTCTCTCAGCTTCCTATGCACTTACTTGGATAGCATGCCACCTTTCCTGTCACTACATTACCACTAACAGATCTTCCATCCCTCCTTTAATTCGGTGAATGAAATATTGGCCCATAACTGGGCTGAGAAAGTCAAGGCCGGTTTGGGATAGAGTTGATGATGGATATCAGACTCCTCACTCTGAAGAGGAGACCACAATCACTTGTAATGGTAGCGAATGTTCAATGGGTAATCAATCCCAGTACGTTTTATTGCGCTGCACAGCTGTCCCATTACACTACCAGTACCATCTCGTACTTTAATCTGCACAAGTCTTTTTATCCCTCTTTAATTAATTCCCTCTCTTTTGCAGACACTATTGGCACCAAGTGAAATGCTGCAAAGTGGCAGCATTGGATACCCTCAGCTCAACTTCTGAGGTGGAAGCTTATGAGGATGCATTGGCAAGGCTTTCGCCTGCACCCTCTCCCAGCTCAAACTTGCACTTTGGTTAGCACTCAGTCCAGGTTAGACTTTGAAGTACAAACTGGTGAGCATATTATACGCCTCTACACCTATTGAGGAAGAAATGCACCAGGTGTTTTTGTTTTAGTCACTGACAGGATTTGGCATTGCTTGTTCGGCCAGCATTTATTGCCCATCGTTAGTTGCCCTTGCGAAGGTGAGGATGAACTCCCATCTTGAACTGCTGCTGTTCATTTGGCGTGGGTATACCCACAATGCCAATAGGGAGGGAGTTCCAGGATTTTTACCCAGCTCCACTGAAAGAATGATGCTATATTTCCAAATCTAAATGGCGAGTGGTTTGAAGGAGCGCATGCACTTGGTGATGTTCCCATGTATCAGCTCCCCTTGTCCTTCTAGATGGTAGAGTCGATGGTAGAGCAGTAGTGCATCTTGTAGTTGGTTCACTCTGCTGCTACTGAGCATCAGTGGAGTGAGTGAATGTTTGGTCCAACGTTCAAGCTGAGGTTAATTCGACCTAGGACACTTGAGGACCTCCTGCAGCAATGTCTTGGAGCTGAAATGACTGACCTCCAACAACCACAAAAACCTTCGAATTCCCTTTATACTAGGTATGACTTTAACCACCTGAGAGATTTCCTCTGATTCACTTTAACTCTAACTCTAGTTTTGTTCCAAGACCCCTTGATGCCATACTCAGTCAAATGTGGTCTTGATATCATTTCTCATCTTTCCTCTGGATTTCACCTCAGTTGTCCATAATTTGAATTAAGGCTGTGATGATATCAGGAGCGAAGTGGTCCTGGAAGAACTCAATCTGAGCACCAATGAGCAGGTTATTGCCAAGCCAGTGCTGCTTAATAGCACTAACCCTCTCTATTAGTTTACTGATAATCTACTGTGGACTGCTGAGTTGAATTTGGCTTGCTTTTTGTGTACAGGACATACCTGGGGAATTGTCCACATTCTCAGGTAAATGCCAATGTTGTAGCTGTACTAGAACATCTTGGCTATGAGTGTGATAAGTTTTGAAGGACAGGTCTTCAGGAATATTGCTTTAATGTTGTCAGAGCCCACAGCTTCTGCAGTATCCAGTATCTTTAGCTGCTTCATGCTATTGTATGAATTCAATCAAGTTATCTGAAGACTGGCATCTGTGATACTGGGGACTTTTGGAAGAGGTCAAAGTGGATCATCTAGAAACTTCCAGCTGAAGACTGCTACAGATGCTCAGCCTTGTTTTTTGCACTGATGTTATTAAGGTTAGGGATATTTGTGGAGCCGTTGCCTCCTGTGAATTGTTTAATAGCCCACTAATACTTATGTTTGAATGAGACAGGACTATAGAACTTAGATCTGACTGCTGTTCATGGGATTTCTTAGCTTTGTCTATCACTTGCTATTTAGCACACCAGTAGTCCAGTATTTTGGCTTCATAAGGTTGACATCTCACTTTTAGGTATATCTATAAACAGCTCCTGACATGCCCTGCTGCACTCTTCATTGAACTGAGGGAATTCAGCAATAGCATTCAGGACACAAAACAATAGGCTCTATCTGTTCTCTTGTAGGTATATAGGATATTGTAACTTAAAGACAACAGGGTGTTTCTTCCAAACCCCTCAGCAATATTTATCACTTAAAAAGTATGGAGTGCTTCAGTTATAAAGGAAGGCTGGATAAGCCTGGACCTTTTTCATTGGAGCATGGGCGGTTGAGAGGAGACCTGACAGAAGTTTATAAAATAATGAGAGGTAAAGACAGAGTCAGTGGTAGTTGTCTTTTCCTTAGGATGGGGGATTTCAAGATTAGGGGGCACGTTTTTAAGGTGAGAGGGGAGAGTTTAAAAAAAGCAAAATTTTGTGCACAGAGGGTGGCTCAAGTTTGGAATGAACTTTGAGGAACTGGTGGATGTGGGTGCAATTAAAACACATTTGGATAGGTACATGAATAGGAAAAGTTTGGAGGGATATGGGCCAGGAACTAGCAGGTGGGGCTAGTTTAGTTTGGGATTATGTTTGGCATGGACTGGTTGGACCACAGGGTCTGTTTCTGTACTGTATGACTCTATAACTAACATCACTAAAACCAGAATCTGATTGTTTGTTTGTTAGTTTATTTATTTACTGTTTCCAGGACCTTGCTGTGTGTGTATTAGCTGTCGTTTCTGAAATTGTGGCAGTGACAATTTTTCAAAATAATTGGCTGTGATACACTTTGGAATGTCCTGAGTCCATGAATGGCGCTATATATGTTTTACCTGTCCCCTCCCTTTTCTCTTACAATTCTGTGCTTTCTTTCTCAGCCTCCTCCTCTTTTGTACTTATCCCTTGTTATCATCTAAGCCACCTGATGTCTATAAATTTCTAACCTTTCAGCGTTTTCAGTCTCTCAACTTTTGCCATCTGCTTACTACCACAGCCTCATTTGCTCTCAATGCTACCAGCCTGCCGAAAGCCAAGCTTTTTCCTCCCCTTGGATTTTACTCCTCATAGTCCTTCAATTTTTAACCCCCTCCAACTGTCCCAGAATTGACATTCATGCATGCTCTGAAATTATCTTAGATTAAAATAGGAAGTGCTGGAGAAACTCAGCAGGTATGACAGTATATATGGAGAGAGAAACATGGTTAAGGAGTTACCTTTGAAATTGTTGTTCAGAGACTTGTATCATTTTGATACTGAGTTTATAGTGGATACAAACAAGATTCTTTTTCTGTAATAGTATAATTACTGTGCCTTGCCGTCTATACCTTTCACGTGCATTTCTGTCATTACTTTCTGTTAATATACATTATAATGTGGGTGTGGAAATTCATAAAAGAAATTCAAAAGTTCGAGACTCAGTGCATGATTTTTGAAGTTTTGATTGTCTGTTCTAGTTCAATTATACTCCAGCCTGTAACCATATTTTACGTGGAGAATCAGTGTGCCCTAAACTCCCTGGTGTGATAACACCTTGGGAGTTCAACTAGTAATGTGTCAAAGATATTATACTGTTCTGTGAACTTATTTCCATTATAAACTCCTACATGAACATCAATGTTTGAAGCTGGTTATAGAAAGATGCAGCAGGTGCATCATTTTCCCAATGGCACTGGTGTGGTGCCACTGGAATCTCGTACTATTTTGGAGGTTGCATTTTGGACCATTTTCATGGTAAATTGTTTTACTCTTACAGAGATATGACTGAAGTTGTTCATATTAAGGATAGGAAAGAAGCAATTCATGAATTAAAATACTCACCTGATGGATCATATTTGTCTGTGGGCTCAAACGATAGCTCCATTGATATCTATGGAGTCTTGCAACGATATAAAAAAGTTGGCGAATGTTTCGGATCTTTGAGCTTCATCACACATATGGATTGGTCAACTGATAGTAAATACTTGCAAACGAACGATGGTTCTGGAAAAAGATTGTTTTACAGCATGCCAAGTAAGGATTTCACCTTGATTAAAGAATAAAAATGTCTAATTGCATGTTTACCTTTTCTTGATTTGTCACTTTGCACTATGATTCTTAGGACAATTGATTTGTGATAAAAATCTTTTCAAATTGCATGTTCTTCATTTAACAATATGTTCCATGGTTCTGTAATAGAAGAAGGATTATACAATAGGAAATGTGAGAAAATTAAGAAGGTAACAAGGGAAAGTCGTTATGATTGCAGCCTGTAGAAGGACAATGACCAATGATTCTACCACCTACGGTAGAGAGCTGATGCAGGGAATACAAGGTGAGGGGTTGGGGTTGGGGAGAGCATGGTGGAGATGGGGAGTCGAAAACTTGAATGATATGTTTGAGATGTAGGACTGGGCAAGATTGTAAAAGCAGAGTATTGTAAGGATATAAGTAAAGTAATCCATAGATGGATGCATAAATTAAGAGTTTTGAAGTGTATTCACTGGTAGCCAGAGAGTCAATGGGGAACAGTGAAGTTAGGTAATGTGTGGTTCTTCATCTATATGGTCTAGATGCTGGGTCAACTATCCAACATTTTATCCTGTTTTCTCAATTTGTTTGTTTCAGATTTATTTTCTGGTGTCATTTTGTTTTTGTGCTATTTCAGGTGGTAAAGAAATTACAAACAAAGAGATAAAGGATGTTCAGTGGGCAACCTGGACTTGTGTATTGGGTCCAGAAGTAAATGGAATATGGCCTAAATATTTAGACGTCAATGGCATTAATTCGGTGGATGCAAATTTCAAGGACCAGGTTTTGGTTACTGCAGATGATTATGGATTAGTGAAACTTTTTCGATATCCTGGTTTCAAAAGAGGTAATTTTTAAAAAAAAATCTGTTATGTGGATTTATTGTGTGTATTTTCATTAATTATTTGTAATTTGTTAATCATATGCCTTAATCCAGGCCTCCATGCAACTTTGAGCTTTACTTGACAGAAAAAAACTGTAAGAACTGTGGATGCTGGAAATCTGAAACAAAAACTGAAATTGCTGGAAAACATCAGCATGTCTGGAAGCATCTGTGGAGAGAAATCAGAGTTAACGTCTTAATGCTTAGTGAGCCATATTTTCAGCAATTTCTGCTTTTGATTGAGGTTTGCATTCTACTTTTCTGTGAAACAAGGAGACAGAAAAAAAGTCACACAATTTTATTATCCGTCTGTTCAAGAAATCATAAAATTTCAGGCCATTGCTGCTTCAGTATATGTTAACAGTGTACCAGCAGGAACAAATTAGGTGAGCAGAAGTGATAGTGAAAAAATACAAAGTTATTGAACATGAGAAATACGAGCATAGAAAGAAAATCCATCCCTTCAAGCCTGTCCTTCCCTTTAACAAGATCATGGCTCTTCTGCCCTAAGCCTCAACTCCTCTTTTGTGCCAGCTCCTTAAAAACCTTAACTCCTCAATATTTCAAAACAAAATCATTTTCTTTTTTAAATATTTTCAGCGATCCATCCTTCACAAGTCTGTGGAATAGAGAATTTCAGACATTCACTACCTTCTGAGAGAAATTCCTTTGTATCTCTGTTCCCCAAGTTTGAAACTTCACCACAAGTAGAAACATCATCTCAAAATCTGCTCTGTCAAGCCCCATCAGAATCTTATTTGTTTCAATAAGATCACCTTTTATTTTTCTAAACTCTGATGAATAAAGGCTGAATTTGTTTACTTCTTGATAAGTCAACCCCTTCAATCTAGGAATGAGTCTAGTGAATGTCTTTTGCAATTGCCTTCAATCCAGTATATTCTTTCTTAAATACCGGGATCAAAACTGTACACAGTACTCCAGGTGCGACGTCACCAACACTGTAAAGTTGTAACAAAACTTCCCTAATTTTAAATCTCAACACACTAGCAATAAAGACCAAATTTACATTTGATTTCTTAATTACTTGCACCTACATGCTATCATATAATTCATGATAAGGGGTCATGTAAGAGCTTTTGTGGTGCAATGGTAGTGTCCCTACATCTGGGCCAGGAGGCCCAAGTTCAAGTCCCACCAGATGGGTGCAATAACATCCCGAAAAAAGTTGATTGTAAAATATCTAGAAGTGTCACACAAGGCACAGTGCTGCTGAAGAGTAAAATTGTTACATGACCACCTTTGTTTATGTTAGCTAGTACCAACTTCTTTTCTAATATGTGGGAAGACTTGTAATTACAATCTTTTCTGAAAGATATTTCTTATGGCATATTATTAAGATTATATTGTATATTCTTGTAAGTGTCCAACGAATAGCAGAGTCTTTTGACAAGAGAGATAACTTTCTCTTAAAATGGGATGCAGTATTTTGCAGCTGTGAAGAGAAATTGTCATCATTCACAATCTTGAGTTTATAATAACTTCAATATTTCCATCCCAGTGAGAAAAATAGTTTTGAAGTTTGGAAAATGGATACATGTGTCAATTCTTCCTAAGCTTTAAAGAATAGCTACCTAGGAACATAGTTTAATAGATGCATAATGTGGTAGACTTCAAGATGACCTGCAGAAATGCATATTTGACAGGAAAACTGCTAACTGCCCACTGCACTCCTTTGGACGCTTAGTAGGTTTAAGACTTAGTAAATGTGATAAAACTGCGGTATATTTATAAAGTACCATAACGTTTATTTTATTGTGCAAGTTCAAATATTAGCCACATGGAAAAATGTGCTTCTTAAATGACTTGACTTTTAAAAGAGGCTTATGTAGAGAAACATTGGTATTATTTTTGTACTTATATTAGTAATGGTTTTGATATTGCAATGGCAAAAATAGCTAGTTCAATGTTAATGATTCAGAAATATTTTTGGTTTCCAGTGTTTGTCTGCTGATGCATAGTTCTTTCAGATTTGCATTCTCTTGATGTTATTAACTCCTCAGGGATAAAAGAAAATTAGTTCAGAGCTACTGATTCATTTAAATTTAAAATTTAAAATTTTCAAAATATTTGTAATGGAATTTATTTCAAAGACTAACATTGCAAGATTTGTAGGTTATATAAAACCGAGCTGGTAGGTAATTTACATGCAATAAACCTTAACCTTAATAAGTGATTTATTAGAATATCTTGGTAACCAGAACACTTTTAGTCATGGTTTTGGACAGTCTTCAGTCCTTTTCCTGACTATTAATAAAACATACTATGGTATTTTCCCTGATGAACCGCTGCTGATACCTTGTTGTATCTCATGATTAATGGTAGAAGATGTACTACTGTAGATTATCTACAGAAGAGACACTGGACTTAGATAATAAGGTTTATTGCATGATGACATTAAGTACAACTAACATTTGGTTAGGCAAAATTACTAGGCTCTTAAGGAGCCGGTACAAATACAAGGGCTTCCTCTGAAAGCTAGAGTAAAACTCCCATCTCTATCCACAGACTGTGTTTGACATCAGTTGAATTGGTTCAACTAATGTAACATTAACATTAATCCCTTCAGAAACATTACCTTATACGAGTCTTCCCCTAAGCTTCCCTGTGCAAACCGCACCCCGCCCCCGCCAACACACGTTGTTAACCCATTATGCAACCATGTATTATAATACATTAATACACTATATTTACCACTTCCCCATCTACCCCAAGTCTCTGATTTCACAAGTGGTCTGGACAGTTCATTCTTTTCTCGGATACACTCTCTTTGGAATTGAAAGAATAGTAGGCCTTTCACTTTAAGGCTATTAACTTTGTTTCTAATCTGTGAAACATCTTTCCATAGAAGGATCTTTTGTATCTCAGATATCCTTCACAGAGGATATAATTTTTTTGTAGGCTTTATCCTAACAGGAAGGCACTTAATCTTTTGAATTTTCTTCCTGGAAGGCAGTTGCTCTGAAATAAGTATTTTCTTCCTTGTACTATCCTGGATTCTGGATGAGGCAATTGCTTTTTAAACAGAAGATTTGGTCTTTTGGTTTGGCAGTATCCTGGATTCTTAGACCAGGCAGTTTCTTTTTGATGATGTCCTGGATCTCTGGATGATGTTCTGGTTCTCATGGAATCATATACAACTTATCTCTCTTGATCATAGTTGGTTGTCTTCACTTGCCCATTGTGCTTGTTTGACTAATGACTAATCAAACTGCCAGTCACGTCGTTCACTCACCATTGTCTGTCACTGGTAATCGGATAACAGGAAGGCATGATTGCAATGAGCATAACTACTTTTGTTCAGACTTAATAAGTCAGACCTTAGGGCACTGGTACAGATACGTCTGGTCCCTTTGAAAGCTAGAGTAGAACTCCTGGTCTTTACAATTCATGCAAACATAGGCAGTCAGGAAAATGTTCAAAATAACACTGATTTGAGGGGTCAGGCAGCAAAGGCTACAAGAGGGTTAGAATCAAGTGTTAGAGTACTCAGAATTTATCATACTTTAATCAAATTGAATAACAATTTAGGAAAGTGTGGGATAACACAATATGGAGCGGGAAGATCATAGCAGGCCAAGCAGCATCAGAAGAGCAGGAAAGTTGACGGTTTGGGTCAGGACCCTTCTTCAGAAATGGGGAAGGGGATAGGAGGTAAGAAATAAATAGAGAGAGGAGGAGTGGGGCTGGGAAAGGTAGGTGGGATAGTGATAGGTGAGTGCAGTAGGGAGTGTTGGGGATTGGCCAGTGGAATGGGAGGGGTGGATAGGTGGGAGAGAAGATGGGCAGGAACAAAAACAACATTGCTAGAAAAGCTCAGCAGGTGTGGCAGCATCTGTGGAGGAGAAAACAGAGTTAACGTTTCGGGTCCGGTGACCCTTCCTCAACGTTGTTTTTGTTCCTGATTTACAGCATCCACAGTTCTTTTGGTTTTTATTTAGAGAAGATGAGCAGGTTGTGTCAGGTCAAGGAGGCGGGAATGGGAGGGAGGCTTGGACATGGGAGGGGGAGGGGGAGGGGGATGGGGAGGGGGAGATTTTATAGCTGGTGAACTCCATGTTTAGGTCATTGGGTTGTAGGCTCCCAAGGTGGAATATGAGGTCCTGCTCCTCCAGTTTGCAGGTGGTGTCATTGTGACACTGGAGGAAGCCCGGGATGGCCATGTCATCCAGGGAGTGGGAGGGGTAGTTGAAATGGTTGGTGACCGGAAGATGTTGTCGTTTGTTGCGTACAGAGTGCAGGTGCTCTACAAGACGGTCTCTGAGTCTACACTTGGTCCCACTGATGTAGAGAAGGCCACATCAGGAGCAGCGGATACAGTTAAATTTTTAAAAAAATTTTGTGTTATTACAAAGCCAAGTTGCACTTCTTGGATCCAATCATAACTGCTATTCTATATGAACATCTTACAGTGAAACAAAGCCACTTATTGATCCATATTTCCACCTTGCCCCACCAAATGATTCCTCCATCTGCCTTTGAGGAGATTGAAGAAGCAAAAATGCTCAGTTCAAATAACAGGATATTACTTCAAGCTTATGTTTTATGCTATTATGTGTATATACATGAGAATTTGAGCTGATTCCCACAAATGTAAGGTGCTCAGACAATTTTTAAGAGTAACTGTTGCCAGTGAACCTGATAAGTTATTAGCAGACACGTTCGTAACAATGCTTCCATTAATTGATGTTAAAGTGAGGTACTGAGATTGGTATAAATACATAAGAGAAATTTATGCATTTCATACTTGTACCATCTATGAAAGATTTTGTTGCCTTCTACAGAAATGTAACTGTTATTTTTCAGGATCCAAGTTTAAAAAATACATTGGTCATTCAGCACATGTGACCAATGTGCGATGGTCATATGATTACCAATGGGTTCTTTCTGTTGGTGGAGCAGATCATTCAGTTTTCCAGTGGCAACTTATCCCTGAAAGAAAATCTAAAGAATTTCTTCATATTGTACTTCAAGGTGAGCAAGCACTTCATTTAATTACTCAAAGTTGCATTGTCAATTTACTGTATTAATTTCATCACAGATTCAAGAGGTAATTTTCGCCAAACTACCCAATGGAAAACTTAGAGCATTGAGTCACCTGCCCATTTTACAAACATTAATTCTTGTTCTCTGTTGACTTCAACAGAAAATAAAAGTTGGTTTGATGTAAAATGAATGCGTACTCTCATCCAGGCAGTTTCATGCTGAGCAAAACAGGTTCTCTTAAAGCAGAGAAACCAGGAGGAGATTTGAAAGAGGTATTTAAAATCATGAAAGGATTAGGTAAATTATTTAAAAATTAATTGTTTCAGTGGCTGGTAACCCAGAGGACAGTGATTTAAGGTGATTAGCTGAAGTAACAGTGCAACAAACCTGCTCCCAGAAAGAACGGTGCACATAGATTTAGTAATGGCCTTCAAAGGGAAGTTGAAAAAATACTTGAAGGAGAAAAAGGTGACAGGCATACAAGGATAGAATGGAACAGTGAGACTAACTGGATTACTCAGTGAAAAATAATGCAGGCCTGATGGGCTGAATGGCCTTCTGTGCTGTACAGTTATATGAAGTAAAACTTGAAAGCATACAAGAAATATTGCAGTTGTACCTTGGAATGAACTTGAGCTATTATGTGAAAAATCTATCACGGGTTTTAAATTTGTTGATTGTAACTATTTTTAAGCTTATAGCCAATGATCACCATACTTAGTCCAGTGTGCTAGTCGTTAATCTTACGATATTGTCACTTTCTCTTGTTTTCTGATTTGCATGTATTTATCCTGGTTATATGTTAGCTTGATTCATATTATAGCACTTTCAACTTTTCAGTTTGAAGATTGTAGGTTTAATCTCTAACTCCAAATTATGAGCATGTAATTTAGGCTGGTAATTCAGTACAACAGTACAGGAGTGCTACAGTTGCAGTAGTGCATTCTTTCAGATGAGCCATCGCACATGTTTACCTATTTATGTAACTATAAAAAATCACACCATGCTTTTTGAATAAGAGAAAAAATGCTCTCGAATCGAGTCTTGGCCAAAGTTTATCAGTGGCAACAAAAAATTAGATGAACCTTGGCAATTAATTGCATGGATTACAGCTGCCTAAACTATAAAAGTAATTTGCTGATTGTAAGTTACTTTGAGACTTACTGAGGACATTGTAAGGTGTTTTATAAATGCAAGTTTGTTCCTTCTGTATTATCTGTGGTCGTTAATCATTTAAGGTAGGCTTGTCATTGGAATCAACCTGTGGTAGCCTCTGAAAGGAAATGCGTTTTTTTGAAAGAATTGGATGTTTCAGAAGTAGCACATTTGAATGAAATTAGTTGGAATGAACGTAATTCAAACATGAAATTATAGAGGACAGCAGTAGACAAAACTACTGATTGTTATATTAGCAGAATACATGTCTGACAGTATGGTGACAGAATTGTACAATACTGTTAGTAGAATGCCTTTGATATTTTGTGTAAAATTCAAAGGTAAATATTCATGTCAGTGCATAGACAAGAGTCACGAAATTTCCTGGCATCAGAGGATTGAAATAAAATGATATTTGGGCTTCCATGTCTCCAATTAACCTCGAGTGAGACCTACCTCTCTATGAACCAAACAGGTAAATATCACAGTAAACCCAGTGTAACATAGAACATTTTCATTTCTTCACACTGAGTCTACACTGAACTTTGACTTAGTTTAAATTCTAGTTTGAAGCCTAACATTTATCAAATAGGAACGGAAAAAGAAAATAATGGGACAACACATGTATTTCCATTGTAGTTAATAAACTTTGATAACAACATTGTACACTTAAATAACATTTCATTTGTAGTAAGACAATCCAAGACATTTTATAGGAGTGTTGTCAGACAACATTTGGCATTGAACCGCAAAAGAAAATCTTAAGACAGGTGATCAAAAGCTTTTTCGGGAGGGAATGTCAGGGGATAGGGTTCAAACAACAAAAAGCATGGCCACAATGATTGATTCTACATTAGGATCAGAAAGTAATGTGTTTTGTTTTAGTCTGAGATGCAAGTTAACCTTTTCATTTACAGAAAGTTTTGTAGACTCCAGTAGTGACCAATCCGACTCTGATCAGTCTGATGTACCTGAACTTGACTCTGAGATTGAACAAGAACTACAGATAAATTATCATCGGCAGGTAAGTTAATATATTTATAAATTGGTGTATAAATATGATACAGGATATTCAGGGAAAACAGTAAAACCTGTGCAAGTATTGGTGAGAGACTCCTCAGACGACACGTCCATCCTGGGCCTCCTGCAGTGCCACAACAATGAAGGTTGCAGGAACAGCACCTCATATTTCGCTTGGGAACCCTGCAGCCCAATGGTATCAATGTGGACTTCACAAGCTTCAAAATCTCCCCTCCCCCGACCATATCCCAAAACCAGCCCAGCATGTCCCTGCCTCCCTGACCTGTCCTTCCTCTGACCTATCCCCTCCTCCCACCTCAAGCCCCACCCCCATCTCCTACCTACCAGCCTCATCCCGCCCCCTTGACCTGTCCGTCCTCCCTGGACTGACCTATCCCCCCGCTAACTCCCCACCTGCACTCACCTTTACTGGCTCCACCTCCGCCTCTTTGACCTGTCTTTCTCCTCTTCACGTATCTTCTCCTTTATCCATCTTCTATCTGCCTCCCCCTCTCTCTATTTATTTCAGAACCCACTTCCCCTCCCCCATTTCTGAAGAAGGGTCCCGACCCGAAACGTCAGCTTTCCTGCTCCTCTAATGCTGCTTGGCCTGCTGTGTTCATCCAGCTCTACACCTTGTTATCTCTTAAACTTTGAAGTGTCAGCTTTCTGCGAATGTAAAGAATATTAGAAACTAATTTTTAACTTTCTGGTTAGCATCATAGGACTATTACTGTAGGTGGCCTTTTTGTCATAATCATAGAAATCACAACACAGATTGAAGCCATTCGATCCATCACAGGTGAACTAGCTCTTTTTTTTACTTGAACCATTCTACTTTGATCCCGTTTATATTTTTCCTTGCATTATTTTGCTTTCAGTACTTCACATTTATTCCATTCCATGGGGCTGCTATTGCTGCTATCCCAATTACCACAATCTTGTCTCATGCTATTGTCAAATTTTTTAACCAACACTACTCCTGCTCCTGAAAACCGCAGGTGTTTCTGATGTTGTTATGGTGGGAATCATATCCCTGTATTATTTAGGGTTCTCTGAAGTGGCTGGTGTCATGACTTCTGAGTAGGTCAGTATCCATGCATACTGACAGAGATCCCACCCTGCCGCAATTACATCTGCACAATGGAGCTTGGGCTTTTCTGTTTTGAGTCTGTCTTCATAGCTGTAAAATAACTTAATCTTTGTGATGTCCTTTCCATGCTCTCATTCGTCCTACAGTGGGGTGACCAGACTTCCAGGAAACATTTTCAAAATGTGATCTAAGAAGTTTTGGATAGAAATGGATCACTTTTTTGCTCTTGTAGTCCATTGTCCAATATATAAATCCTGAATTCCAGTTACCTTTTTGTAGCAATTTGCATTAGACTTGGAACTAAAGTGTCATTATACGTGGAACTTTTACAAACTAGTGCAGTTGAGAGTCAGGTCACATTGTGTCAATTCAAAACCATTAGTGTATGTGGTGCATCAGATTCCCTAACACAAGAGCAGGAAATTTTGGAAATATGAGTACTCGATGCAGAAATGTTTGAAACCTATTCAGCAGCTCACTTTTTAAGTGCATGCTTTAATGTGTTTTTTTTTGAACATTTCAAATTGCTTTTCTTTCAACAGATTTATAAAGAAGACCTACCTCAGCTTAAAGAGAAATGCAAAGAAAAGCGTCAAGCAGCAACTTCAAAGAAACGGGAAAAACCTCCAGACAGCAGTGTGCGCTTACATTTTGTTCATGGGTAGGATGATCTTGAAAACACTTCTTTGTTTTGAAATGATTCAATGCAACGAGCCGATACACTTAAGCTGTATCCATAAACTGAACAGATTCATGGCTACCTAAACTGTGAGACACTAAAAGATGTTTTATTTTAAATGTAGCTGTCAGCTTTATTGTCCTGTGGGCACACCCCAGCAAGGCTGCTAACTAACCCTCTATTTAAGGGCTGGCACTACAGCTTAGGTGACTCTTGGCATGTTTGCCAGCCTCCTCCTCATTATACCAAGGATAAGTTTTTGTTTTAAAAAAGTCCCATAAAGTAACATTTAAAGAGCTGACAAAAACCTTAAAATCTAATTGAAGTTGTGGAACCTCGCTCATTTTACCCACTAGTACATTCCTCCCGCAGATTTTAGAAAGGGCCTATCTGTGATGAAGGGCAGGAAAAAACAGAATAAAAATTGATATCACTGCTATGTAGCTTTCTTTCTACCTTTCAGTTACAGGGGCTATGACTGCAGGAACAATTTATTTTACACACAAACTGGAGAGATTGTATACCATGTCGCAGCAGTAGGAATAGTATATAATCGTCAGCAGAATGTTCAACGATTCTACCTTGGCCATGATGATGACATTGTCTGCCTAGCAATTCATCCTTTAAAGGATTATATATCAACAGGCCAGGTACTGTAAGTTTCATTTGAATAACTATTTATGGAAGAGGATAACAGTGGGAGTAGCTTGTTTAATAAAAAAATTTCTCCTAGCTATGTCGTGTCAAAATAAATTGTATGAAATGTTTCTAGCTAATAGAAAATATTCTTTTTACTATATTCATCATCTTTCACTTCAGCATTATTACTGTGTTGATATTTGCACCTCTTTTAAAAAGCTCTGCACAGAAGTCAATATCAAGATCCACTCTATTTACTGATGAGATGGTGTAAACACAAAAATCTGAATAATTTAGTACTTTTATCAGTTCTGATTTTCTCTTCCTACTGCAGTTCAGACATCTCTGTTGCTAACAATAAACTAGCCAACCTAATTCAAAAGAGAATTCATGGATATCAGTTCCTATGAGATATAAACTGGAATGATTCAGCAGGTCAGGTCAGATTTCCAGCATCTAGTGATCTGTCATTCACAGTATCCCCATGAAATGTGTGTCCCATGACTGACATGAGTGTTGACTCATACAGTAGTGCCTCTGTAATGAAAGCTTTAACACACTGGCTTTCTTAAGCCATGAAGATCTTTCTCTGGTTTTATGTATTTTTTTTTCTCCCTGTTACTACCATTTGCTCCATGAAGAGAAGCCTTCTCATCCACATTTGAAAAATCTGTTTGTGATTAAGTTTAAGTTTAATGTCAATTTTCATTTTCTAAGTTGAGTTCACATCTAGTCTACTTCAGCAAGTTTCCTTTATCTGATTTAGCTACAAATTAGAAACTGTCTTAAAATTTTAAAAACTGATTGCAAATATGTGCATCGCTCGTCCTAGAAATAGGATTGTAAACTGTAATTCAAAATCTTAAAATTGAGGTATCTGTTCAGACAGACAAGCTACCTTACAATGTGAGGAACTGGCACAAGCGACTATAAATTCATTATTCTTACAATGCAATAGTAACTGGATCATAAAATCTAACATTCAGCAGTTTCTACTGCTGATTATCAGATCATTTGGCGGAAATATAATTTGTTTTACAAAGATTGTTAATTTCAATTTCTACGCTGGCCAAAACATACAACAAAAATCATTGCTACAAAAGCCATTAGCTGATGCCAATGACAATTGTGCAGCTGCAAAATATCATGGATGCTGGTAATCTGAAATGAAAACAGAAATGCTAGAAAAACTACACACGTCTGGGTGCACTGTGAAGAGAGAAAAGATTAATATCTCAAACCGTTAACTAGCAGAAAAGAAGTAATAGCGTTCTTGGCGACTTTACAGAGTTTTAATAATTCTGTTTGAGGTCTGAGGAGGTACTGAGGCTGAAGTGTGTCAATTTAAAGAAGGATTCAGTACCACATCCCAAAGCTGAGAAGTGGCTGCTATCGGTTCAATTGGGAAAGTCATGAATATTTGAACAAAGATTTTCATTGCCGCATGAAAGGAAATGTTAGAGATTGATAGCAAGTCAGAAGAGAAGAGTTGCCTTTTTTAATACACTTAAAATAAGTTTTCTTCCTATTGATATGGAGCCTCTATCATATTCCTGCAGCAGTCAGAGCAAAGTTGACAATTCCACAAAGTGCTGGATCGAAGTATTACTCTGTAGTTCTAATCTAAGACACTGCCCAATTTTATATATAATGTCTAACATTTTAAACATTTTTTTAATTTTGGTGTTAAAAAGGCATAGTGTTAATTAGTTGGATTGTATTTCTTTATCACATTTTTTGGTTGATGAGATCTTCCCCATTTCTGGTTGGTAGGATGTGATACATTCAGCAATCATAAATAGTGTTCATTCGCATAACTTAGAATTTACACAGTAGTGACACATTTTTTTTAAAAAAATCAAAATGGAGTCAGATGTCTAATTCACTGATATAAGTAGTTTATTAAGTCATCATGCAGATGACTCCTCAGTGAAACATAACAGACATTGCTGTCAGAGATAATAAGAACTGCAGATGCTGGAGTCAGAGATAACAGTGTGGAGCAGGAAAGTTGACATTTTCAGGGCCAAAGAGGTTATCAGAGAGTTGCAATGGGAGAGAGATCCACTGAGGTCTTTCCGGAGGCAGAACAACTTCAAGATGGGCATCCTTGGAAGAGGCTTCGCAGTGGGGTTACAACTCACTCAGAGATAGTAAGAACTGTCGACGCTGGAATCACAGATAACACAGTGTGGAGCTGGAGAAGCACAGGCCAGGCAGCATCAGAGAAGCAGAAAAGTTGACTTTTGCTGTCACATGCTTAATTCCATTGCACTCAGACAATTGCACAAATAGCAATCTTGGTGTATCTGGGGTAAATTGGACATCAAATGTGTTATGGCATGCTGAAAATTGTTTAATTGCTTTTATCAGAAGTGAGTAGATTTGTTGTATTTATCGTATTTAAGATTGTCTTATTCTTACCTGGTTATTCTGGGGCATTCTGTGAACTTCCTGCTGATTTTCTTGGATTCCCACTTCCATGTTCCTGTTACAGGATCAGATCAGGAAAATGTACTGCAGTTTCATCGACTTAATAATACCAATCTTAGTTACACAATTCATGGATCTATTCCTGAAAGATATTCACTGCAACGTTATGTTTGTCATTTTGGGTATTCAGCGTTGGCCTGATTACTAATTTGCACTAATTTCAGGTGAAACTCATTAAATTGGCATATTTGTTTAGGGATTACTGCTCTGGTATCAGATGTGCACAATTTGTGTTATATAATTAGGTGTTACAGTGATCATCTTTTAATTTTAACTATATTCCAGTTATCAGACATATACTATTATCTAATGATTAGATGGCAAGAACTACAGATGCTGGAGTCAGAGATGACACCATATGGAGCTGGAAGAACACAGCAGGCCAGACAGCATCAGAGGAGCGGGAAAGTTGACATTTTGGGTCGGGACTCTTCTTCAGAAAGGTCTGAAAAAGGCTCCCAACCTGAAACTTCAACTTTCCTGCTCCTCTGCTGCCTGGCCTGCTGTGTTCTTCCAGCTCTGTACTGTTAGCCTATTGTCTAATACTCTCTTTAAGTTGAAAAATCTTTGCAAAAAGTAATCATTTGTAAACAAATACAATAGTTTACTTTGTATTTTGAGCTGAATATTTAATTACAAATTTTTAACTGCCCTTTCAAATCCGAGTTCCTGTGGGAATTGCATTCTAACCTTGTACTGAGCTTTTTGGTAATTAACATTAATATAATCATTTCTCAGTGGGTAGTGTGCCTGTTGTAATATTAAAACATTACAAGAACATTTCACATTTAACTTACAGTTTGTATTGAATTAGCTGAGCTGAATGCTGCATTTATACTTAGTCTGCATTTTTGACTACAGCTGAGAAACAAAAAGAATGTAATCGCATTGCTCTGTAATCTATAGACCACCAACTAGTGGGAAGGAGGTATGGGAACAAATCTGCAGAGAAATTATAGAGAAGAGTAAACAACATTGAATAGTTATAATGAGGACTTCAATTACTAAATATAAACTAGGATGCTAGTACTGTAAAGAGCAAAGAGGGACAAATATTCTTACATTTGTATTCAGGAGAAATCACAATGGGGCAGACTTTCTGCTGGCCACACATTTGTTAATGCATTGTAGATTGGAGTTATGTATGGGTCCCTGCAGAATCTCCACCATAGCAAATTCGAAAGGAAATACTTGGGAAGTTGAATTTGCCTCTGAATAATTCCTTTATGACTGAAACTCTTTAAAAGTCTCCATAAAAATTTAGGCCTTCAGATGGTTCCAATGACATTAAGTATAATCATGGAGGCAAACAGCATGGAAACAGGTCCTTCAGCCCAACTCGTCTGTGCCGACCAGGTTTCCTAAAGTGAACTAGTCCCATTTGCCTCAGTTTAGCCCATATCCCTCGAAACCTTTCCTATCCATGTACCTGTCCAAATGTCTTTACAATATTGTAATTGTATCTGCCTCTATCAGCTCCTCTGGCAGCTCGTTCCATATATGCGCCACCTACCGTGTGAAAACGTTGTGCCTCAGGCCCCTCCTTATCTTTCCCTCTCACCTTAAACCTATGGTGTCTGGTTTTGGACTCCCCTACCCTGGGGAAAAGACATTTGCTATTCACCCTATCCATGCCCTTCGTGATTTTATAAACCTCTATAAGACCATCCCTCAGCCTCCCACACTGCAGGGATAAAAGTCCCAGCCTATTTCTCCCTATTGCTCAAATCTTCCAGACTGGGTAACATCCTTGTAAATCTTTTTTGCACCCTTTCCAGTTTAATGACATCCTTCCTATAGCAGGACAACCAAAGTTGTATGAGATACTCCAAATGCGGCCTTACTAATATCTCGTAAAGCCATAATGTGATGTCCCAATTCCTGTACTCAATGCTCTGACTGATAAAAGATCCCATACTTACTTCACATGCCCCCAATACATCGTCTCCCTGATCACCTAATAACCCCAGAACCCAACTTCAGCTCCCTCCACCATTGCTGCTGCCAGGGGACTGCCCACCCACCCTCCTGCATGACCCACCGCAGCTGGACCTGACCCATCCTGACAGCCCTGCAGCCAGGGCTGACCAAAGCGATGGCCTGCTACATCCTACTTCACCCCACCCTGCCACTGCCAAATCCGAACCTCCAAGGTCAGACAACTAAATTTCCCCAGCCCACCCTGGCCTAACCTAAATGCTTACCTACCTCCCCCCACTTTGCCACTTTGCACAGTGGCATCCTACTCAGTTGGCACCCTACCCCAGCTGGCATCCCTACCAGATGGTACCATACCCCCTACCATCTGGCATGGGAGCATAGTTTGCGTTCCTTTCACAGTTCTATGCTAGAAAAGAACTGTCAGAATGGAAGTGTGGCTCCACATTTCTGCGGGAGATCTGTGCAGAAACTCCACTCAGAAATGAGGAGTTCCCTTCTTTCATAAAGAATGGCCAGTGTAGCAAACTGCCTGAGATTGCCACTCCCTGAAAAATCTGGCCTTGTACATCTGGTTCAATTAGAAAGAATGTACTGTTAGACCTGGTTCTTAGGAGTGAGTGAGCCAAGTACCTCAAATGTCAGTGTGAAATATTTAGTGGATAGAGGTCATTGTATCATAAAATTTCGGATCACAGTGGAAAATGCCAGTAGTTAATCCAGACTGAGAATAATCGATTGGCACAGAGCTGATTTCAATAGAACATGAAAGGAAGAGCTGGGCCAGATAAATTGAAATCAGTGGTCAGTGAGAAAAGTTGTAACTGTACAATGGGCTACCTTTAAAGATATGATTCAGGTACAGTCAAGGTACATTCCTCAATAGGAAAAGGTAGGTCACACAAATCCTAAGATATCTGATGACAAAGGAGAGAGAAATTAAGTTGAAGAAGAAAAACTGTGCTCATGACTCATGCCATGTAGCAAATAGAATTAAGAACCAAGCTGAAATCAGAAGGTTCAGAAGGGAGATGAGAAAGTAAATGAGAAGCAAAGAGGGATTATTAGAAAAGATTGGGAGCTAACATAAAAAAGGAATTGCAAAGTCTGTAGTTTCATAATAAAAGGGGGATTAGGGCCAAATAGGGACCAAAGAGAGGACTTGCGTATGGAGGCAAGAGGCATGGCTGAGGTGTTAAATTAATATTTTGTATCTGTCTCTACCTACAAGGCAGATGCTGCCCAGGCCATGGTGACATAAGAGGAAACCCAGTCACAGGTTTAATATTCATGAGATATTGAATAAGTTGTCAATACCTAAAGTTGATAAATCTCTGGGACCAGATTAGATGCATCCAAAGATATTGAAGGATGTGAGAATATAAATTGCAGAGGTATTGGCAATCATCTTTCATTCTTTCCTTGATTCAGAGATAATGCTGGAGGATTGAAGAATTGCAAGTATTCCACCTTTGTTCAGAAAAAGTTGTAAAGATAAGCTCAGCAATTACAGACCTGTTTAAATTTGCTGTTGGGAAAACTGCTGGAAATAATTATTCAGGAATAGAATTAATAGTCACGTAGAAAAATGTGAGCTTTTTAGGAAGAACCAGTGAGAATTTGTTAAGGGCAAGTCATGTCTGATTAACAACAAAAACAAAGTTGCTGGAAAAGCTCAGCAGGTCTGGCAGTATTTGTGAAGGTAAAAAACAGAGTTAACGTTTCGGGTTCAGTGATCCTTCCTCAGAACTGTTGTCTGATTAACTTTATGGAGTTTTTGAATTGATAACAGAGGGGTTTTGTGAGGACATTGTTGTTGATGTGCAGTATGTGGACTTACAGAAGACTTTCAATACAGTGCCACACCAATACAGTGCCTTGAGAAAAGCAAAAGCTCATGGAGTAAAAAGGTCAGTAGTAATGTGGATACAAAACTGGCTGAGAATAGGAAACAATGATAGTGAGCTAGTTTTCAGGTTTGATGGTTTGTTCTGGTGTTACCCAGACCTCTGGATTGGGAACACTTGTTTTACCTTATATATAAATGATCTAGATCTTGTTGTGCAGAGGACAAGTTCCAAAGTTGCAGTTGACAGAAAGCTTGGAGAAATTGTAAACTGTGAAGAGGACAGTGTAGAACTTCAAAAGAACATTGACAAGTTGATTAAGCAGATAGACAGATAACAGATTAATTCCAATGTAGAGAAGTGTGAAATGAGACATTTTGGAACAAAGAAGATGGAGAGACAGTATATAGTAAAGGGTGTGCAGGAGCGGGGAGACCTTGGTGCATATGTGCATAAATCATTAAAAGTGGCAGACAGGTAGAGAGCAGTGATAATAGAGGCATACAGTACAAGAATATGGAGGTTATGCTGAACTTGTATGAGATGTTAACTGGAATATTATGTACAGTTTTGGTTGCTGTCCTTTAGAAAGGATTCTGATACATTTGATAGAGAACAGGAGATGTTTACCAGAGTGTTCGGAATGGGAAATTTCAATTAAAAGGATAGGCTGGAAAGTTGAGACTGTGTTTTTCTTGGAGAGGAGAATGTTAAGAGGAGATTTGGTAGAAGTTTTCAAAATCATCACAGGCCTGGAAAGAGTAGACAGGAGCATCTGGCACTTGTAAACAGATTGAGAACCAGAGTGAACCAGTTTTAAATGTTTTGCAAAATAAGTAAATGAGAGGTAAGAAAAGGCTTTTTAACACAGCAAGAACTTTGGGATGGACTGCACTGCCTAGTAGTGTGTGGTGGAGGCAGGTTCATTTTAAGGCATTCGAGAAAACAATGTCCAAGGTTACTGAAATAAAAACAGGAGATTGGCATTGGCCTCCTGCTCCTTATCAATTCCGAGTAAGAAACAAGTAGTGTTTCTGCTCCATATTGCTTGTTGGTGAAACCTGCTCAAATCTGTGCATGTGAACAAGTTGGAGACAAGCTCAAACGCATTCCCTGTTTGAACAGGTGGCAGTTGAACCCAGGTCTCTTGGTTCAGAGGTAAGGACATTACCACTTCATCACAAGAGGGCCCTTGGGATGTTGCTATATTGGAAAAGTTGATTATTAGATATTAAATATATTATTTAATTAAGTATTTCAGTACAGTTAAATTGAGGAATATTCTTCATTTTTTGTTTGTATTTTAACTGTGTTGTAAGAATAAAGTGTGTTTTACTTGAGGCCTAGTTGTAGACCGATTGAATCACATCCGGAACAAAGTGCCATACAATTGCCTCTAAATAAAATAAAAGTTAAGGTCTAGGTTATTTCCTTGATATATTTTGAGGGGGTTTGGTCTGGTCCATAACATAAGTACAATGCCAATTTTGTTAATTGAGCATTTCATGAATATCACTGAGAATTTGACAACAAAAAACAACTGTAAACATCTGGAAGTAAAATTGTAAGTTGCTTTCCTGTCTGTTTAGGTGAGTCGTGATTCTGCAATTCATATCTGGGATGCAGAGCTATTGAAGCCATTATCAATTTTGAAAGGACATCATCAGTTTGGGGTTTGCGCAGTAGATTTTTCAGGTAAAGGAGAAGATTATTTATTGTAACCTGTGCTGTACGATAAAGCAAAATCATAACCATGTCTGTATATTCAGTGATCTTTGGTGTTATCTTATGGATTCTTTCCCAACCAACCTAATGTTAATCTCTTTGTTCTCCTAAACTCTGCAATATAATTCCAGTGGTGAACTGTTTGATATTTTTGAATCAGAGATATTAGGAACTGCAGATGCTGGAGAATCCGAGACAACGAGGTGCAGGGCTGGATGAACACAGCAGGCCAAGCAGCATCATAGGAGCAGAAAGGCTGACGTTTCGGGCCTAGACCCTTCATCAGAAAAGGGGGAGGGGAAGGGGGTTCTGAAATAAATAGGGAGAGAGTGGGAGGCGGATAGAAGATGGATAGAGGAGAGGATAGGTGGAGAGGAAAGAAACA